ATAAATGTGGATGTTCTCGAAATCTTGTAAATAATAATTTAAAAAATACTGCCACCTATTATAATATTTATCCCTTTGAAATGAATAACTTTTCCCTTTGATATTTTTTCGTATCATTAAAAACAACAGAAATATTCTAAAAACGACTTACAGAAAATGCTCTGTGCATTGTGTACTTAAGCATTGTCAAAAACTTTTCTGCGTGGAAAAAATAATTTTTCTGAAGTTTCTAAAAATTTAGTCAGATACAAAAATCTGAAAATAATTTTGTTGAACTCAATCAATATTATGCAAGGCATTCGAGTTGATTGCTGGATCATCAAAATTTTTGCAATGTTATCATTTTTTAAACGTTTACATAATTATTTTCATAGTCCAACAAAATTATTTTTAGATCTGTATCTAAATGTTTAAATACTTAAACAAAATCTTCTTTCTGTGTGAGAGAACTCCAAATCTTTTTAAAATTCCTATGTTAGTAAGGAACTTTATGCTTTCATAAATCACTAATTACGGTTCATTAAATCTAATGATGCTCACGGTATTAACAGCGTGTAACAATCTCTGAGGGAAGTTTATCTCTGTTTCAAATCTCATCGATCCTGCCAATTCGCCCGGTGAATCTCGCATTCGCTTAAAACGCTGATAATCCCGGGACGCATAAATTCGGCATCGACGTCGGTGCGGCGGCGTGTCCGGCGTGAATTTTCGTGTCCTCGCAAAGTAAAATATGTTCCTTTGTTCTCCCTGCCTTGAGCAAACTGCGAGGTCACGTGCAGCTACAGCGACAGCTATTACCCGGTCCTTAAATGAAAAGCTAAGGATAGCAGACAACGTAGACAAAGGGTGCGCCCGTCGTGTCTCAGCCATACAGTATCGTAATCCTCCGCCCACACGGGAAACTCCGGGCGAAGGAAGCCCGTTTATACGCGCACTCGCATATACAGGGTAGCCCGAGAAATATCGTCGCGCAAAAGGAGCGCCTTGGCTACCTTCGCCGGAATACGCGGAATATAAACATCAGATTCTCGAGAATCTCCGCAGATTTTAAGCGCCATAGATTCGAGAATTTTTAGATCTCGGAGAGAAAGACCCACCCCCCTTTCCCATCCCGTTCCTCCTCGGATTACATCGACGGCAAAGAATCGTGGATTTGGAATTGTGCATTCGTGAATTCGCGGAATCCGTAACGACCATTGTGATTCTCGAAAGGGGAAATAAATTGATAAAAAAGAAAATCCCTAATGTTTTATTATTTAGAATTAATTTTCAACGTATTTTCTCTCGCGAAGTGCCGGCGTCCGGAACCTGCCGCGAAATGTCCTGTAGACACGATCTCCACCCCCCCACGTGAGGGGGTATCCGCACGAAAGCTGCTCGGAGCTTTTCCGCGTGACTTCCCCCATCGACTAACCTCCCTTCTCCCCCGGGCGGATTTTCCGCGGTCGCCATGGATCCGTTGTTCCTGCTTACGGTTAAGCATTAAACCCCCTATGCGACGAGCATTAGCTCTATCCCAACGAAGCCGCACGCTTACGGGAGACCTAAAGCCCCGCAAGCGTCGTTACATGCGACTCCACCCTCTCCCCCGCTGTGACACGTGGGTGAGTAAAAATACGTGGGGAGTACCGAAACGTCAATTACGGAAGAATAAGCGAATAAAATTCGCGATCGATCGTCCATCGGGCGAAAAATAATTTACCGTCCTTTCTCGAAGCTAAAGTTCTCCGGGTGTTGGATCGCGGTTTCGCAGGGGTGATAAGGACGTCGTGCGGATTTATGTAATATTTATCCGACGTTCGATACGCATCGGTGTACGTCGTTATCGTTGACGGGCATCCAATATCGCGTCAAACTAGGCGGACTCGGCTAAAGCAAGGAACCCGTAATCCGGGAGGATAGCAAGATAATATACATCTCAGATAGGGTAATCCAAGAACACCCCGGCGAGTCTCGTCGTCGTGTAACGCGATCGCATTAGGCGAACCATTTACAACCGTTCGACGCGAAACTACCTACGACGTGTCGGAGGCCCTCTCGTCGAGGTCTTCCTTCACCGCCCTTCAATCTCGACGTTAATGCACCCAGCGGGCTATGATAGGACGAGAACACGAGAGGGCGGCGGAGGGGAGGGAGGGAGCGACGCGCTTCTCTTGTGCGGGGTTTCTCTCTTGTTACACAATGGGAAGCCTCGCGTTACAAGTGTAAACGGGAACCAGCGACGCTTGAAATACTACGAAGCTGCGAAGCTTCCGCCCACCGGCGACGCGTCGGGTGTGAAAGTACACGCAAATGTACGAAAGCCCTTTAAGGGCGAACGTCACCCTTAGACGTCGCTCGTTCAACGAGACTAGCTCGATCTTGAACATTCGCACGGGAAGGGAAATTTGGCGGAGGCATCGCGGCGTAGCTCGCGCGACGTCAGAATCCGCGTCGCTACAAATCCCTTTCGGTTCGCGCTTCGTCGAAATTAAATTAAATTGTTAGCAGTCACAGTCATGTTCGTGCAATTAAAGCGGTCGTTAATTGTACAATAATGCCAATTGTTAACCCGCCATATTTCCACGGATTTCTCCGAAAGCGACCTCGGCATCTACAAACGCCGCGAATAACGAAGTGACGTCTTGTGCTTGCAGATTCTTTTCAAGCTTTCAGACTTTCTTTTAATCCGCAAATTTTTAAACTCATGGCTTTCTAGATCCTCGGACCGCTCAACAATCTCGGCTTATTACAGCCCATTATTAATCTCTCTCCACCCCAACGGAATTTTCTCCCCGTCGGTGGTGCGTTTAGCTATATTTAAAACGCCAAATCCTCGCGACGGAAGAGAAGGGGGAGAACGATAGGGGGTTGTAAGTAGCATGCAAATCGTCCGGGGATACGTTTCGACCACCGAGTCAAACGGAATGTACGATTCCGTTGCGTCGAATCCGCATCGGCAAGGGTTTGCCCGGGGTTGCGGATGCTAATATTGAATCAACGGGAAGTAAACACGGGTTGTTTTCGATTTCGTCGGGAATCCAACCGGACGATTTTTCCGGCCGATTCGCAAAGGTCGATATGCAAATCCTAACTTGCCTGAAAACGTCATGCTGAAAATCGTCGTGAGCCAAACCATACAGCGTGCTTTGAAATAATCTAGTGGAATTTTTCTAAGGGAGAAAATATTCACATATATATTATATAGTATACCTTCGGAAGTATATTATATAGTATACCTTCGGAAATAATATTTTTATTTTCTGATTTTTGTACAATTGATGATTATCGCTTACAAATTTGGAATTAATATTTAATTATACGATTACTCGAACATAAATGTATAATTAACAATTTATCTCAACGATAATTCAATTATATTAATTAAAATGTAAAAAGAG